CTTCTTTTTTTTTTTTTTTTTTTTTTTGGTCTTTTATATTTTGGAAAAGAGACTAAGGGCTGGAAAAGTTTTCCCCTCATTCTCTGTCTCTGCAGCAAGTCAGCATGGGGAGGGCTGGGCCTGCTGTTGTTGGAGATGGTTGGCCGCTTGGGGCGGCTTGGAGGCCTGAGCTCCTCTGTCTGTGTGACCCTGAGATCCCTCCTCTGCGGGGGGCTTCTGTACCTGCCTCTTTCAGAACTGGGAGTCCAAGAGCTTCTAGGACGAAAACTCACGTGCCTCTTCCTCCCTTGCCCTCTGCTGGGATCCTTGCAGCCGCGTCGTGGCTCTGGCCTCTTATTTCAGGCCAGGCTGTGACAGCAGCCAGTGCAGGACTAAGGGAGGACGAAGCGTGTGAAGGAGGCTGTCCCCTGGCCAGCGTCCTGGCTTCCGGGCTGACCAGGCAGGTGCCAGGGCAGGCAAGGTCCCTCCCGCCCCGGCTAATGAGATCAGTTGCCCGGGAATACAAGTGAACTCACACCCCATCGATGGGGCTGAGGCCACTGGGGTTGGGACCGAGGCCAGGTCTCCTTGACAGAAGCCCAAGTGTGGAGAAAGGAAGACGCGTCTCCTATCACGCAGGCCCCCAGACTCCAGGTAGTCTCAGTGGAGGCAGGATCTTTCCGGGTGAAGTCTCTTTCATTCGAGGGAACCTTCCTGTAGAGAGTTGGGGCCAGTTGGTAGGGCCCGGGCTGTCCGCGGGCCTCATTGCTCATTCCTCCTTGGAGTTGGGTCAGTGGTCTGGGGACGGCGTGGAACGGGCCTGGCCTCCTCCCTGAGCCACCTTCGTTTGCTAGGAAATGTCTCCTTCCGTGGCAGAGCCGCCAAATGGCACCGATTGGCTGGCACCACCTGCTCTGTGCCCATGCCCTCCGGGGATTCGGCCGCGCCGCCCCTCACGCCTTCCCCCCTGCGGCAGACTCGGGCAGGGGCCTGGCCGTGGGGGTAAGGGTGCAGATGAGTTACTCTACATCCTGCAAGAAGGAGTCTCCTTCTAAAACGGGGCCCGCAGGGCCGGATGCGGCCAGAGCTGGCATGGGCTTTGATGACAGCAGACTTGATGCGGTGGTAAGGGTGGGGCGTGGTTTCATTCCCAGGTGCCATTGTCACCCACGGCCCTCGTGGCCCCTTCGTGGGGTAAGCCCCGGACAAAGCCTCAAGGGATGACACCACTCAGAGGGAGCCACAGGCATGTGCGTCATGTCCAAAGCTCTCCCCCTGCAACACCGAGCCAGCGGGACTACCAGGAGGCCAGCTTCCGGCTGAGACGCGTGTCACCGCGTATCTGTCAGTCAGGAGGGGAGGTTGAGGCAGAGCAGGGTCAGAGGGCACTGTCATGGGATAAGCTGCATTTCCTGGTGACGTCCTTTCATCCAAAGGGGGTGACCAGGGCAGGTGGCAGGGGACAGGGCAGGGGGCCGGGAGGCCTCTCCTTGTTGGAGGTAGGCCCGAGCTCAGTGGACGCACCGCCAGGCATCTCAGCCCCTGCAGGGCTCCGAAGGTGAAGTGGCACCTTCAGACCTCCCGGCACACAGGCTCGGGCCTCGACATCAGACGAGGGATTCAGAACTAAGCAAGAGCTCGAACAGGCGCTCGGCGTCTCTCCTGCAGGGCCCTCCAGGGGTCCACGCTGGGGGCCGCCAGGTCTGGGTGTCCAGGTGGGGGCATTTTTCTTTAAGCTCTTCCACGAGGGAACATTACCCACGTAGAGGGAACCCCCTGCACCCCCGCCCGTGCCCACAGTCAGCGACTCACGGCCAGCCTCAAGTCAGCCGTGCACTGCCGCCCACCCACTCCGGGCTATTTGGGGGAGAATCCGGGCGTCACAGCTTCCGTCTGTGCATGTCTCTGAAAATGAGGACTTGAAAAACCGAGCGGCCCTGCCTCTGTCCCCTCCACTGAGAACCCCACGGTCCCTCTGGGTGGCCAGCCACCCTGTGCGTGTCCGTGCCCCAGTTCTCGCCTAGCTCGTGTTCACGGTTTGTCCAGACAAGGCTGCTGGGCGCTGGGCGTTGCGTTGGGTGGGTCTGCGTCTCAGCGTTCACCCTCTCTCCACCTCTAGGTGGTCTGCTCCTCCTTGGTCTTGGTTTCCTCCCTGGCAGTTGATGGAACCGGGTCTTTCGTCCCATAGCGTCCCCCTTGGGGACTCTGTAGGCCATGCTCCCGGGCGGCTCGGCGTGCTGTTCCCAAAGGAGATGGTGCGAGCTCTTGGCCTGCAGGTCCCGAGCCGGGAGGGCCTGGTCTTCCCTGTGGCACCTGCAGAAGTGATGACGAACGTGCTCCCGTGCTGGGCCGCCCTTCTCAGGTGTGACAGGGCC